AAATGAATTGGTGTATTTCGCCGGTTTTTTTTCATCCTAGCTATATGTTAGCCCAAATTGAATAGTATCTTTGACATCAACACAAAAAACTACATCAGATCAGAGATATTACAGCTTAAAAAATGTATTCACGAGAAACGCACTCCTTATGAACTAAAGGCATATCAGAATGTTCTCATTTAGTTTTTGTGCTGATATCGACTATGCTATTTATTCTACTTTGATATTGAACGATGATGGTTGAAACTGCTAAGTGCGACTTTTTTTTATTGCTATAATAAGAGAAACTTCAATTTTCTCCAATATTTTTGTAGATTGCAGTCGAGCGATTTTAAGAAGAAAAACTTTTTAACATTTCCTGTCTCACTAAAAAACTAGAGAAATTTACAACAGTATCTATCAAGACAAGCTCACAAGTACTTAAGTAACATTTTTTTATGTTTGATAAAAACTGCAATCATTATCAGCAAATACGATGAGTATTATTCCATTAAAGTGATAGCTCTCATAATAAAACCCTGTGAGAAAAAAATATATTTGTTTTTGTTATTTTTTTCAAAAAATGTAAGACGAACATATTCATTCAAGATTAGTAACTAGTAATATGATCATAATATTATACTATATGCATGTATTTTTAAGTATCTTTCCTTCGGATGATACTTCTAATCTTTCTCTACAAAAATACATACTTCGACCAATTAACCATATATAAATTTGCCATAGATAATTTATATATATATATGTTACTGTCAGAGAACGTGGAATAGTTCGATAAACTTCCTAGATGTGGAATCATGTTTATCGTATATCTTTACATGTTAGTAAGCGTTCGATGTTTGAATTGCGTATATTCCTAAGATTTGCGTTACTGGAAGTATAATTTAGATGAATTTCGAGTTATGTCAATCTTATTATTATTTTGTAACAAATGATTTATTATAGTTGAATTTTGTTGACATAGAAATCTATATCAAATTTAAAATTCTTTTGAATTTTTTTAATTTGATATACGCTCTTTCAGATCAATATTAGAGTAATAAGTCATGTGTTATAAGATGGTAACAAACCAGTCCGACAAGACTTTAAAAAAACGCGTATTTTTCTGAACAAATTTTGATATGTTCAAAAATCACTCGGTTTTACTCGTTCTTTTTAAAGTAATTCAACGTATATAGACGCAGACTGTTTAGTTCAATTACTTATATTTATACAGAAACACCTGATGGGAGACTTATTATTTATAGACTGGCAAGTCAATTTTTTAACAATCATATAGAATAGAATGTTCTTAAAACTGTCTGACTATTTTTTTCTTTTTTTTACTCATATACGAGTTGATGCCTGCTTCTTCTTCTATTTGTTTACTTTGTTTACATATTATTTTTCTCAGAGTTCAAAATGTGATTTTGATCTACTTGCGACGTAAGATAGTTATTGTTGTATGCTTTTTTTTCTCATGTTTCTAATACTTGTACGATCATAAAAATTTTCAAGATACTTTGTTTTCTTTTATTCTTATCACATAAAAGAATCTGTTGCTGATTTATTTGAGAATCGACTTTTCTTAGAGCTATTGAAATTATTCTATTTTTATCTTAACATGAATAAGCATTCAAAGTTGGGTTTCTCTCTACATTTGCTGATTTTGCTCAGAAAGAGACGAATAAATAGATTATATATCAAAGTTGAGACAGTCGTATGATTTGCTAACTTTTTTTTGCAACGAGTGGTAAGAAAAATTTTCCTATTAGAGAAGCAAATATGAATATAAATTTTTTGATGGAGATATTAAAATTGAAAAAGAACGCATTTTTATGAGTTTCTTTTTGTTCGATTTCAAGAACTTGAAGTTTGTAAAAAGTACATTTTAATAATCCAATCGTTTATTTACATGTTGAAATGTTTTTTTTTTCGCATTTCTATGTTGTTTTAAATGAAGATAAATACAAGTTTGTAAAGAATTCAATTATGCATCTATCTAATTAAGATCCACACGTTCTAAATTACGTATAAAATCTACATATCCATATGTTATCCTATGGAGAGCTTCGACTGGATTAGTATTTCTCTTGTCAGTATTTCAAAGTTATAAGTCACTAGCGGAAGTACCCGGGATTGCCCGGAAAAGTTCAGTCTTAATATATGCAAGCAAAACTCCTATTGCACTCGAGAACATGTCAGAAAACCTAATCAGTAGGGAGTAGACACACATAAAACCCTATTTTTTGTTCCAGTCCTAGTTATGGCTCTTGGACGTATTTCAAGTCCCGGCCACGGCTACTCTCGCTCTCAGCGGATATGAAATCCTGACATTGAAAAATTGATCAGAAGTGAAGGATTCTTCGTCCTTACACGTCTAGATCAAGAAGAGCTTGATGAAACTTATGAGTTCTATCGACTTTTTATCTTGGCCAAGCATTTATAAGAGTATATACCCATCTCGATCGACCCCCCCCCCCGATTCCGACTGACCCTAGTCGCACTTGGTCACATTCCAGGTTCCAGAGCTGTATTGTTGTTTTCCTAGTTGGGAGCCCACATGAACAATCGATTCTTCGACAGCGTTGCAAGAAAAATCCGCTTTGATCGAAACTAAGCACAATGACACATCTAATTGATCTAGAACGTCGCATTTTGTACTACTGGAATCACACTGAATTCCGATTGATTGCAAAGAAAGACAGATAGAAAGATTTTTGTGGGTCAGATCCTTTAGCAACCTAAGGAGTCGATATCTATGACGCACAAATTTTCAGCGTCATAGGCTATTTATTCGAAATCCTCGCCTAACACGACTTCCAGGGATCAACTTCCCCAAAACTGGATTCGCGTATGACATGGGTCACCCTTGATATTCGTTTTCCTAAAAACTCGATTTCTATTGGTTTCGGACCAACCAATCAGATTTTGAGGTGATTAGAACTCTAATTCCAACTCATCGCCCTCGAAAACCTGTAGTTCCATGTTTTTCTGTGTGTTCACAAAGTACTGCTCAATAGTACTTCTATAGTACCGAATACTACAATCTGATTGGTCAGCAACATAGGCATGCTTTTTGTGGGCGAAGAACCAATTCTTTTTGAAAAAAGATAGGTGTTGACCTTCTCCTGAATGAGAGGAGAATTCCTGGAAAGTTTGATTGCATTCGCTCGTATGGTGTGGAAATGCGTAAAGAACAGACAGACAGATAAACATTCTTCTTTACATATAAGATCAAATTCTATAGATCCGTCTGAATTGTCCTATGACGTGAAAAGCATCCTCGAAGTTCTCCAACAGCAGGGATTCGATTTGACATCCTTCTAACAAGATGCAAATAGAATGTTCTCAGGATTTTCTCAGTTTAGGAGTTTCACATGGTTTATTATTTCATTACTTAAATTCTTGTCTGATGTTCATATAAATGATCATCCTACAAAAAGATTCTGCATTCTCACAATTCCGAATAAAATCCTCAGATCTCTATGTTTTTCTATCAAAAGCTTTCATAGAATTAGCATTACTCTTTCTTCGAGGACCTCCTTACAGCAATCTCCAGGTGTTGTTTTTATGATCAAAAAGATCTTGGCAAAAACTAAAAGTAATATAGATGTAAGAATCGTTACAAAATCCTTTTCTCTCATAGGAAACTAGGAAAAGACTTCTGAATTTTTATCTGCGGAACGAACATTCTCAAAGACGAATGTCGTATTTGTAGCGCTTGCTCCCACGAGAGACGAGCTCCCTTCGACAACGACAATTTCTTTTCTTTTTCGTTCATTGTAGTAATTCCCAATATTCCAGTTGATGCCCGATGGGCACAGAATGGAGTCACTATTGCTGGAAGCCATGGACCGGGCAGTGCCACCAATCAACTCTACTACCCTGAGGGTCTCTTCGTTGATGATGACCAAACGATGGTTATCGCTGACAGGTGGAATCATCGTATCATGCAATGGAAGATGGATGATACCAATGGACAAGTAGTAGCTGGTGGGCATGGCCGAGGAAATCGATTGGATCAGTTGAATGAACCAAACGATGTGTTGATCGACAAAGAGACGGATAGTCTCATTATTTGTGATCGAGGGAATAGACGAGTCGTACGATGGTCTCATCGTAGTGGCACAATTCAAGGAGAAATCCTCATCGACAACATTGTTTGTTATGGATTGGCCATGGATAATCAGAGATATCTCTACATCTCTGACACCGAAAAATATGAAGTAAGACGATATCAAATAGGAGACAAGAATGAAACTATTGTGGCTGGTGGCAATGGCCAAGGTGCTGGTCTCAATCAACTCAACGATCCGTACTACATCTTTGTCGATCGACAACAGACTGTCTACGTGTCAGACAAGGACAATCACCGTGTAATGAAATGGAATAAAGGTGCAAAAGAAGGCATTGTCGTCGCTGGAGGTCAAGGCGAAGGGGATACTCTGACACAATTGTGGTATCCTCAAGGACTGTTCGTCGATACGTTGGGTACCATCTATGTGGCAGACTCGTGGAATCATCGAGTGATGCGTTGGCCTAAAGGAGCGAAACAGGGCACTGTCATTGTGGGTGTAAATGGTGGAGGAAAAGGAGCAAACGGGTTCCGGTATCTCGAGAGTTTGTCCTTCGATCGTCATGGCAATCTCTATGTCGTCGATTATGGTAATAATCGTGTTCAACGCTTTTCGCTCAAATAGACCCAAACTGATGGATTAATTTTTTGCGTTCCTTTCCTTTCAAATAAATCACGTTGAATTGATGAAAAGAATGGTTTATTCTATTTGCGCGCGCGACCAGGAACCATCCTGGTGGAGCCGTGGCGAGCGTAACACTCATGCACACACGGGACAGACTCAAATCATTCATACCGCTCCCACTCGAGAGATATGTCAGTGAGTCTGGAGGGCCCGGTCGTATGTCACGGACACCAAGACGGTTCCTGGCCGGGATTTTAGGGACTACCCGGAAGTCCTTCATAGAAGATGAAACCCTAACCCTCAACGGACAGAACTCACCTAGAGAAGAATAGTATTTGGAAAGAAATGAAAACGAAATAACAACATAACTAACCAATATATTAACAAATCTTCAGTTTTTTTAAATAAACGTCTCGTTTTCAAAATAAGATTATTTTCTTTAGTTTCTGAAAATAGTTTTAATTTAATTAAAAATCAAATATTTTCTTTTTATTTTTTTTCTTCTTATTGGATAAAGAATATGAACTAAAAAGATTTAATTTTATTTGTTAAAAAAAAAATGAAAAATGGATCATTATAGAGAGTTTATAAGTTGAGAAAATATTTCATTTTTAATGGAGGATATTTTTACTTGATACTCATTTGCTTTCATTACCAATTGACGACTGATTTTGATGGTTTTGATTTGCTGATTAACGGCCGGTGTAGACTTCAATTCGTCAATTAGTTGGTACACTTGACTAAGTGATAATTTTTCATTTAATTGAATTAATTTTTTACTATTTTCTTCACGTAATTCTCTTAGACAACGTAATACTTCTTGTATTCTATTATTCATATTCGAGTTTATATCGGAAATCTTACAAATGTGTCGTTCTTCATTCAGAAATCGTTTTAGTACAGCTATAAATGGATCAATTTCATTTAATAGTTCTTTCTGCCGCAAGAAATGAATGAGTCTATCGCATTGGAATAGGAAATTATGAAAAGAATTCTTCAAATCATTGCTGGAAAATTGTATTGATTGTGTAACAAATTCATGTTTCACTTTCGATTCAATCATAAAATGACTTTCATCAAAGGGACACAAACAATGTTTAGTTGCTTTGTTTTTATCAGATTGATATTCAAATATGTAAAATGGCCCTACTGGTACAATATTACTTTTTGCACAATTGGAACATATCTTAGTGATAACATGAACTGTATTTATTGTTATTTCTTTATCAGTTAATCCAACTTCATGTAATTTCCAATTGTAAAGTATTAAACGTAATGTTTCCATAAGAGGTCGAGCAAGTATTGAGATTTCAAGACTAGTTTTTCTTATTGATTGCCATTCATTTAAATTATATGGTTTTAAATTAAGAATAAAATGAAGTAAACGTACAGATTCAGTCACTGATGTTGTCCAGCTATTAATAGATTCTTGTTTTACAAATTCATCAAATTCAACACCACGTTTTTTAGCTGCTAAATATCGAAATGATTCACTATCAAAACAAAATGTATTTTTCTTTTCAAATGGAATATCTTTAAGATGTTCTTGTTTAAACATTTCTCGAAGTAATGAACCAGTATTACCCGGTGCAAAAAATGTTGATCGAGCATTAGTAAAACAAAAAATAATATTATTATAAAAGATTGGTGTTAAATACATTAATAATTGATTAACACACGAGCTAAAAAACATATTCAACCGAGATTCATTTGGTTTAAATAGTAAACAAACAGCATTTAAATGTGATAAATTATTAACATATGCTAATACATGATCAATATTTATTTCATCTTGAACAAGACCACGTGTATCACCCATACCTGGTGTATCAATTAAACGTAAACATAATCTTTCATTTAATTTGAACATATATGATTTACATTGTTGTGTTACTGATTGACCTTGATGTTCATGATTTTCATTTGAATCAATATCATCAAATTTAACAATAAATTCATTAAATTGATCACCAGTAGTAATAAGAAATGAAACTGGAATTAATACAACCGGATCATTTTGTTGAGCTTGTTCAAGAGTATCGAAAATTAAATAATTAACAAATGAATTAATGAATGTTGATTTTCCAACTCCTGTTTCACCCATAAGTAATACATTGATCTCAGTTATTGATGGTAATTTGTTTTCTGATGGAAGTGAAGATGCTAATGATCGTTGTAGTTTTGGTGAGGATGCTGATGGTAATGGTTGCTCTATTGTAAGATATAATGTTTTATTTAGTTATTATAAAATATAGTGTTGATAGAAAAAACAAACAAAATCATTTATTCAGAATCTTTTACCTTTGAGATGATCACGTCGAGGTTTTGATGTTGATTCAATAGGTAGGCGTACAACGCTGAAGTCGTTCAATTTTTGTTTACAAGGACTAAAGTCAACATAAATTAAAGAAGTTTCTTGTTTTGTTTTTTGTCTTTCTAAGATTAGATGTTCATATATTCCTTCCCATTTGTCCAGTTTTCTTCGTTTTAGTTTATCACTTGAATACCATAGAATTACAGAACTATGCTCTTTTGCCAAAGAACATTTTAATATTGTATTAATTTCTTCAATTGTCATAGATGTATCCTCATGAGAAAGAATATCTAAAATGTTGATATACTGAATTTGATTACTCATCAATCGTTCAATTAACATCGTTTTTGAGAGCCATCGATGTATTTTTTGATGAAAATCCTTAGAGTTAGTTTTTAACGATGAATAACATTGAGCTGATATGATTTTGTTAATTTCTACTGACTCACAGGAATTTCGACGAATATCGGAAAGTGTTCTTTTAAGACATTCTCGACATTTGTTATATGTATTCAATAAAGTATAGAATTCTTCTTTATAATGTGTCCACTGTTGATTTAATGTAGGATCTGAAAAATCTTCTGGGTTTTTCTCTAACAATCGCTGAATATCTTTTATCGACTTATCGATCGGTATGATGAAAATTTGAATGTTTGAAATATCATAATGAATCTGATCAGTCAGGTTGTATGTTACTGGGAATTGATCATTTTTATAAAGCCATCTTAATGAATGCATCGTATACATAAGTGGATGATGAAAATTTTCATATTTCTGCCATTCTTGTAGTTTATTTAGAATAACTAATAATGGTGTATTAGGATTGTTAACACATGTTTCAGAGCCATATATTGTAACATTAATCAGTTCAGCAATTTGACGTTTCTCAATGTCACTTAGAACGAGATTGCCCTTGCTATTTTGTAATCGATTGGAAATACTTTCAAGTAAATTGTCAACAGTCTTCACAGATTGATCATTTGAAATCGGTATAATGCATAAAATTTCTATGCCCCATACTATTTTAGTAATCATATGAGTTGCACGAGTCGACGATGGGGGTCGAATAATTTGATCTACATTTCCAGCTGTAAAATTCAATTCTTCTTCTTTACTTCTATATGAATAATATAGAAAACGACTATTATCATGAATAGATTGATTATGATTGACTAGAGAACAAACTCCTGATGGACTAACCATACAAAGAAGTATACTTTGTTGAAGATCATCACTGGCATCCATCTCTTTAAGATAAGTTATTAAATCAATTGATTGATCACCTGAGAATACTTTACATATAGAACATCCGTTAAGTCTTCGAATGTTAGATGCCTTGACAGAGTATTTATCAACCAATCTGTCATATGATGCATCATAAAATGAACCTAATCGACCCGAAATATCAATTGCTTTTCGTTCAATAAAATTAGAAACCGACGTCATTCTAAAATATCATAGTTCAAATCAAATTTTGTTTGAGAACAAATTAAATACTCAGTATTATATACAAATTATTAGTATAAAACGTAGTGTTTGGTAACTATTATATTTGTTCAGTAAATGAATAATTTACATGTGGATGTGGGACTGAGTGTGGATGCAGCTGCCAAGAAGGTCGACATCGACACCCATATTCAAGAAAAAAAATTTCGATTTTTCAAGAAACCTTTCCATTAGTGTCACTTATGAAGTCTTGTCTCAGTGGATTGTTAATCAGTCGATTTAAAAGTCAATTCATGATGAAATATCAAAATTATATATTTTCAAACTTGGTTGTTTTATATATAGACAATAAGTAGGAAGTCACCCGGAATTTTTAGGTATTTGTCTTCATTTCCTAGAAATATCATAGTGAATTGCTGATGAATAACCTTTCGTAGGGACTCATTAGAGATTTCTTGATGATTTTCTAGTGATTCATCAAGGATTTTAGAGTTTTTGATGAATTAACAGGTATTCCACCAGTAAAAGTGAACTATGGAACTTTGTGTATTAATCGATTTGTGTCGGACTAATATTCCATAAAAGAATAAGATCTATATTAAATATTAAAAAGTATTTATTATAGTGGACAGACTATGATAAAATACTCAGCTCTCTACCATGACGTTTTCAGTGATATTCAACAAACAAGAATCAAAAGTATCTCATTTGGTAACCCAAAATTCTCCGTGGATCATCATTCTATATACCTAACTTTTTTTGTTTGAAAGAACATGTCAGGATGCAAGGCATGGTGGAGTCTTTTTTTAAATTCTTTGTTTTTTTAAACAAAGAAAATGGGTGAAAATTTCAATGTCTCGAAAAACTCAAAAAATGGCGCTCTAATTATAAAAGCACTCTATTATATAATAATAACAATGCTTAATTCAAAAAAATAGAAATTCTGACATGTCGTGTCTGTTGACATACTCTTTCCAACAAAAAAAGCATAAATAAAGAAAAAAACGAACAAAGTTTCTTGCTTTTTATGAAAGAGAATATTTTTCAAACAGATGATGGCAGAAGTTAACAAAAATTTCCGCAAAAGAGGAGGTGTCGAATAAAAAGTCATGCCATTTATGAAAGGTCAGGTCACGGAATATAATCCCATGTATTTATTTGGTTTTTTGAGGAGTAGAGGAGATGTTTAAAACTCCTAATTAACAAATATTAATTAATTTGTCAGATCTTAAAGAGATTAATCACAATCTTTCTTTTTTCAGTAATTTAGTTACAAAATAAATCAATGTTACCTCTTTTTATAAAATGAAAAATCATATTTACCGTCAACTGTTTGAAAAAATGGTCGTTGTGAAGTTCTTTTTTCATGTGAAGGAGAAAAGTGAAGAATTTGATTATTTACTTTGTAAACGGACGAAAGAAAAAAAAAGCAGACTACCAACAAAAAGTGAGTCATACTTCTTTTCTTCTTTTTTTCTGTTAACTCTTTTCATTTCGTGATTAAATAACCATAAACCATTGTGTATCTTTGTAAATTAAAAATCCAACGAGAAATTTATCAGAGAATATTAGTGATGAAAAGTCTTAGATTGGATTGAAATTTTTTAGAAAAAAGAACCGTATCATATAACATAGTAGATGTATAAAAAGAAAAAAATTCTCTAAAAAATGATTTTTTTTTTAGATAATTATGTAGAGATGAAATTTCATGCATATAACTTCATAAAATGATTAATAAATCATTGATGAATATTAATCATTTTAAATAAATATCAAGTTATAAATTATTAGAATTAATTCAAATATAATTCAATCATTTAAATTTATGAAATTAAAGAGCTAAAGAAAGTAATATAAATCTTCATCAAAAGAAAAATATTTCAATATTAATTGTAAATCTTTTTTTTATAGTTTTTGGACATCATTAAGTCGATATAATTCAATCTCTACTATTATTTAGACAAAAACAAAACAACAAATTTTAATTTGTCATTGTCAATAGATATTTGTATCCCACATAATATAAATTTTTGTGAAATATTATTTGAAAGGAGTGTTAAAGTATATTGGATAGAAATTTGGACTGAGAGGGATATTTGGCTAAAAATCGCTATTATTTTCAAGATTTAATTATAGAGATATATTCTTCGAAATATCATCTATCTAGTGGTCAGGGGCGTAGCCAAGGGAGGGGCAAATGGGCAATTGCCCATTTCATTTGGAGGTTTGCCCATTGTAATTTTTCTTAGTAAATTTTTGCCCATTGAAATTTTAGATTTTCAGCATTGCTTTTTTTCTTTGAATTAGATAGTAACTGTATTTCTTTTCTTCCGTCTGAATCATACATGCACTCTTTGCTTGTCCTTTCTGTAAAAAATTAAACGGAACAAAACAGAACAGAACAACAAACATGACAAGTGTACAATTGTATATATATACACCTCTTCTTTTCTTTTTTTTCTTTCATCTTTTCTTATAATACTGATACGCACGAAGAAACAAGATGATAAACTGGACGAGATAGGTTATAGTTCATCTTCTTCCGTCTGAGTATTATAAGAAAAGATGATAGAAAAAAAAGAACATATATATATATACAATTGTACACTTATCATTCTGTTGTTCTGCTTTAAAAAAATATAAATACTAAGCTATGTCGAATGAAAAGCGACCCAGTACTTTATTTAACTACAACTTTTCTTCCAAAAAAATACGTACTGGCACAGAAAATTTAACACAAGATTCAACTACACCTGCAACTACAAGTGCTACAGTTACCATAAGAAATGAATGATAACTGGAAAAACAAATGGTTAAATGAATTAATCAAAGAGACAGACAATGTATTATTTCCAAATGTCCGTTATTTATTAATTTTTTTGGCAGCATTACCTGTATCAACAGCTTCTGCTGAAAGAAGTTTCAGCCAATTGTCGAGAATTAAAAATTATTGTCGTTCTACAACGAAACAAAATAGACTCAACGGACTTGCTGCTGCGTACATTCATAAAGATTTGGATATAAATTCAAGTGAAATATTGACATTATATACACAAATGCATCATCGTCGTCTTGATTTTGGTACTTGAATTTAAAGTATAAATGTTAAAGACTTGAGTCTGATGTATATTTGATTAAATGAACCATATTTCATTTTTTTGTGATATTAAAAGAACCATATTTCATTTTTTTGTGATATTAAAAGAACCATATTCCATTTTTTTATGTTATTAAAAGAACTACAATTCATTTTTTGATTTTTTACTTATCAATACATTTTTGGACCAAAAAATCTTTGGCCCATTCAAAAAAATTTTGCCCATTTTGCCCATAGTTTTTTTTTTACATATGAGAAGTTTGCCCATTGGTCTGAAAATCCTGGCTACGCCCCTGCTAGTGGTATAAATAACTTTGTTACAACTCTCAAAGAAACTGAAAAATTAGCCTGAAAATTGTGATATCACCGAGAAAATTAATATCTGACAAAATCAAACTGTTCGATAGATAAATCAAGTAGGTTTTGTGAATCTTCAAGCCAAACTCTATACAATAGTAAAAAGTTTTCTTTTTTACATTACATGTTTAATTTCTAAGGAAAAAAAAAGAAGAATAATATTTTTTCTACAGTGTTATTCGAAGGTCTAATCCCGTAAAATGAACAATCCATCCATATCCAGCCTCCAAACTTTTTCAAATTTTGCCATAATGTTCTTCTATCTACTGTCGTCTCTAATACCTGTTAGCGCAAATATTTCTGGACTGTACAGTAGAGTTTCGAAAAACCTTGAATTTTCCGATATTTTTAAGCTTTTCTGACTTTGAAAAAATATTTAATAGACAAAAATAGTCTATTCTTGAACTCAACGGATTAAACTATGTCAAATGATATACAATACAAAAAAATTTTGACGCAAAAGTATTTTCTCTAAAAAAAGCTGTATTGCGCAATCCCTGCGGGATTAAAACGTGAAGCACGATATACCTATTGTTACTAATTCCCTAAAAACGGCTCTTCTTTAAGTATATTGGGGGTATTCCATCAGCATTACTAAATTTACAGAGTAGAACTTCATAAAGGAAATACTCCAATTAGATGTTAGTTATATATAGCATCTGATAGGCTCTTGAAGGCAGCTATCAGCCGCTGTGACAATCCATGAAGGGTGTCTGTGATGGTCTCTGGAGTCCGTCTGTCACAGTTTGTGATGGGTTCGGAGCCTCTTTATCACGATGTGTGCTGATTAATTAGTTAATCAAATACTAATTAACTAAGATGTCTGTCACGGTCTGTGGGGAGGAGGGAGTTAATCCAAATTTCCACCCTATATACTTCAACACTTCTTTCAGATCGTGTTTCATAAAAAATAAGGGCAAGGGTTCTCCTCAGGTATTGTTCGTCGAAAAATGTGTTTTCTGAAAGTTACTTTTCTGCGTCATATCTAATCATTTCTGAGCAAAGAAATCCGTTTTCAAGCAAAAAAGTCCTGTATGAACTATTTTCTTATTGAATTTCTGAAGGATTAAGTAAAAGGATGGTGAAGATATGTACCCGAAAATATATAGAATATAGCAATCTCCTTGTGATTAGCAAGAGCAGCTACATCGTGTTTTGCATTCTAATCCCACAGGAATTTCGCTAATAGATTTTTTTTAAACCAAAAAAAAAATGATATAGTTGTAAATCATGCCGTTGATAATAATCATACTCATTGAAAGATGTTTGCCGTGAAAAATTATCGATTATTTATATTTTTCATGTAAAATATATTGAGAAGCCAATAATTAAAAATACAAATATGATAGATACTCATCGTTAGATGAATCATTTATCAAAGAATTAATTAATAATACACTTAATATAATTCAAAAATTCAATGGGTCTTTGACATATCAATAAAATATTCATACTATCAATGTTAACATTGATTGATGTTTCATTATCGCCAAGAGAATAATTTATTCCATATAGTCTCAAATAATATAAATTAGTTTCTTATATA